ACCCCTAGTTTTCAAAGCAAGCATTAAATGAAATTCTTCTAAAATGTGTTATGGGAAGGAAAGGGATTTCTATCTTCCCATGCTGGAGGGGATGAACAACTTGCAATTTGCTTCTCACTCTAAATCCCACGTTTGCAACATGTAGAGCAAGCACTTCAGACACCACAAAACAAGGGCAGCCTACATTCAGGCCAAATATAGGTTGTGATTCTCAACCGTGATGCAGTAAAGCCTACGTTTCCTTTTCCAGCATGCAAAACCCTTTGAACACTCCCAAAAAAGGCCGGCAGGGCCCGCGCGCCTTCCTCCAAGAGGAAGCCCCTTTCTTCTCCACTCCCGCAGCCTGCCACTTCCCCCCCCCAACACACACACACACACACACACACACACGCATGAGAGCGGGTGGTGTGTGCATGCGCCGGTGTGGACGGAGAGAGCTGGGTTCCTGCGTTCCCACCCACAACATCTGACCTCATCCTCAGTCATTGGGGCGCTGGGGAGCCCCACCTGCCTCTCCCGCTCCTTTTGATTGCCCGGGGCAGCTGCCCCACTAGGAAGAGCGCGCAACCTGGAATCTCCTAGTGCATTCTCCTCCTCCGACACCCACCCCACCCAGCAGCGATCCAGCTGGGTTGGGTCCTTCCTCTCCCAGCCCCCAGCCCCAGCCCCACCCCTCGGATCCTAGACTGGGTTCAGCCTCCTCCCAGCCATCCCCACCCATATTACCCCGGCTCCGTCCTGCCCCGCCCTTCCAGGGCCCCAGGCCGACCTTTGGGATCCACGGCTGATCTCGCACCCAGAGCCTGGGGACACCCCCCTTACACACACCAACCCCGGCTGCTACGCTCACCACCCACCCTACTAGAACCAGATCTTGGCCACCCCCACTCAACTCGCTCCCTAGGGGGACCCAAACCCCGCCCCCAGGCCTGGCGGGGGCCAGGCTCCCCAGCTGCTGGGAGGCCACCTCCACCAAGCACCTCACCCCACCAACGGGGCCTCGGACCCCGAAAACCTGCCTCGTGGAGCCCCCTTCCCACTAAACCCCCGGCTCTGTACTCGGTCACGAAGGTGTTGGCTCCCCGAGGGAGTCCACTCCTCACATGGACCCCGGCCCACACTCCCCGGGTCATGGGTTCCGACTGTATAAGCCCTTCACCCAGATCCCGAGCCTCCCACAGCAACCTCCCGAAGGACCCTAAACCTTGCACATCGGCCAGCGTGGCCCCCGATGCAAGTATCAGTGTCCCGGGCGCCGACCCCAGCCAGCTCCCTTCCACCAGGCCTGCCCCACGCCCCGCCGACTCCTGTCAGACGGCGCACGAACATGCCGCGAGGACGGGTCCCTCCGTCCGGTTCCTCGCTCCTCGAGGCCCACACCGAGCGCGCGCCGCTCACCAGGGCCGAGGTGCCTGAGGGGCCGCCGACGCCACCGAAGTCCCCGCAGCAAAGCCGGGTGAAGCCTCTAACCGCTGCCGCCTCCGCCTAGCACTGAGCGCAGCGCGGGGGAGGGGCGCGGGCCTCCGCTGCCGCCACCGCCCTCAGGCCCCGCCCCACGCCGCACCGCACCCAACCAGAACAGCCAAACTGGGACAGGCCCCGCCCGCTTCCGGGAGGGGAAGCCCGCTCCCCACCCCGACGCCCTGCGCCTCCAGGCGCCACCTCTGGTCGCGCCGAGGAATGCAGTTGGGGTGCAGAGGAAGGAGGTATCCAAGCCCGTACCATCTACCAATCATCTAAGAAACCCAGTGGCCACGCTCACAGGAGCCTCCAAGCCACGCCCACTGCCTCTTAGAACCTGCGGCTTCTTAAAGCTCCGCCCACTAGTTTATTTGGTTTTCTCCCAAACAGCTCTTCAAGAATCAGCAAACCCATCCCTACTGCCTATCACCACTGAACATCAAAACCTTTAAGCCAGCATCCTAGATCGCTAGCCCCATTCCCCGTCCACCAAGAACTCGCCAGTGTGCACTACAAAACACCCCTTTCTCCCATCTCAGCTTCCAGAAGCCCTGCTAACTGAACTGCAATCCTATTGGCAGCATTTCAAGGTCCCAGTTTCTCTAGTCTTCTAACACCAAGCCCCGCCCCGAATTCTCGAAGACCCGCCTCTAGCTTCTGAAGCTCCGCCCCTGATCCTTCATGCTGTGTGACAAGTCCTTGAGCCCTCCCTCTGACTGCTCTCACCCTTTTCTGGGCACACACGTACCGCTTCCCGCATCACACAAACGATTCTGTTATGAATCCTGTTTCTCAGGTGAGAAACCAAACCTTCAAAGTTCCCTCTCATCGTTTCCCTGGCCACATGATCCTTTCTGACCTGAAATCTTTTAAGACTGTGTGACCTATTACAGTTCTCTTTGCCTATCAGACCTGTACGGTGGGTCTGCTATGTTAAGACTGTGTCAACTTGTCTGTCTATGATGGTTTGGCAGTTGAGATACAGCCATTCCCTTGGTGAGATCTGCAGGGAGTCATTCCGTGAAGTGGAGTTTCAGCTGGGGTGGTGCCTTCCACTAAATCTATGAGGAAGTCTGGCACAGCTAGCTTGCTCTTTGCTGGGTCTCAGGCCGGCATCTAATTCATCACCTCTTTCCCTTTTTAGATTTGAGCCAGTAGCCTGCATTACCAGCCAACTTTGGACCTTGGGTTTGTCAACCTGTACAGGTACATGACTCAGAAGAAGCCTCTCTCTTGAGATCTGACCCATGAACCTGGGACTTGCCAGACGCCAAGTTCATCATTAGTCATTTCTTTAATACAAATCAATCTCTAGATATGAAGATAGAGATAAATAGGCGTGGATGTCCAGAAGCAATATATATCCTTCTTCTACACACCCAAGATACACAAATACACATACATATGTAAATTATTTTAATATACGTTGTGTTGTTGTGTACTGTATGAGGTTGCTCATCCCTCTTCCGTGGAGCAATTGGTGGCCTCAAACTGTGTGCCTTTGTATTGCAATGCAGCTTCTTACCACCAGAGCTATATCATCTATATTTATATCTATCCATATGTTGTTATTGTGTGCTGTGGCGTCAGAGCTGACTCAAAGCTGGTTTTCAGTGGTAGTAAAATGTGTGGGAGGGGGTTGCCCATCCTTCTTCCATAGAGCAGCTGGTGGATTTGAGATTGCATGCCTTTAAGGTTACAGTGCAGCTCCTTACTGCTAGGTCACCAGAGCTCTGTGTGTAAACATTATCTCTATCTCTATCTCTGCCTCTATGTCTATCTCCCCATTCTAGAGAACCCAGCCCAAGACTTATAGTACCAAGACTGGTTCCAGGGAAATAAATATTTATTGTAAGGATGAGATTTTTGGTTCTCTAAGTTGGTTCTGAAAGAAGTTGTTGTTGTTGTTAGGTGCCATCAAGTTGAGCACGACTCATAGTGACCCTATGAACAAAAGATCTAAACCTTGTTCCATCCTGCACCATCCTCACACTTCCTGACACACAAGAGCTCATTGCAGCAGTCACCGTTATCAACTCACCTGGTTGAGGGTCTTCCTCTCCTTCACCAACTCTCCACGCTTCCCAACTTTATATCCTTCTCCAAAGAATAGCACCTTCTAGCAACATGTGCAAAGTATGTGTAATGAAGCCTCATCATTCTTACCTCCAAAGAGCACTTCAGCTACACCCTAAGATGTATCTGTTTGTTCTTTTGGCCGTCCATGAAATGTTCAGTGCTCTTCTCCAACACCACAGCTCAAAGACATCAACTATTTTTCTGTCATCCTTATTCACTGTCCAGGTCTTAGATGCATGGCCAGTAATTTGAAAGACTATGGCCTGAATCAGATGCACGTAAGTCCTCAAATTGACATCACACTACTCCTCAATAATTTGGAGAGGGCCCTAACTGCAGATTTTCCCAGTGCAATGAAACTCCTTATTTTTTGACTCCTGGTACCAAGGGTGTTTAATTGTGGATCCAAGCAAGATGAAGCTGTTGACAGTTTCATTCTCTCCATCCATCATGATGCTGCCAATTGGTCTAGTGGTATGAATCTACATTTTCCTGACATTGAGATGCAATCCATACTGAAGGCTGCATTCCTTGATCTTCTGCAACAAGTGCTTCAAGCCCTCCTCACTTTCAGCAAGCAACGTTGTGTCATCTGCATATAACCTGAGTTATGTTTTAGTAAAGAGGGCTCTGCTAAATCCCTGGCATGAGATGACAATGTTAATACCCAAAATATCTCCAACAACAGATGATGGATTAGTGAGAAATAAGGCTCTGAGTGATTGAGTGTTTGACACTGTTATACTATTATAAGCAAATTTGTCAATTGGTCCCTTTTATGCTAGAAAAGTGGTGCGGGGGATAAGTTGCACTCAGAGCTTCTAAATAATAGCTCAAGAACCTCATGAAAGACCTCAAAGTTTCCCAAATGTTCCTTGAAAGAAGACCTTATAGTAAGAAAGCCTTTGTAGAAGTAAAGTTGATATGGCTGAAAATCAAACCCAAAATCTTATTTCCAAGAATGGCCAAATCACAACACCAATGTAAGTATCAACCTTGGATGGTGTCTTAAATTAAAGTGAAGCTCCTGATTAAAAGAAATGGAAGACCTTTAGGTCAAGTGAATAGCAATCTAACTTGAATCCTAGTCAATTCAATCAATCAATTCCCAAACTTGAGCCAATTTACAAATCTACAATCCTTTGAATGAAGAGGAGGCTGGGTTCTCCTGAGGAAAGATCTCACAACACAATGAAAAAATTTATACTGTTAATCTTTCTTCTGCCCTTCCCCAAAGGGTCTACAACTTTTTATGAGAATTGCTGTTTGTGGGAGAAAAGTAAAAAGAATTTTTGAGGATTAGCAGATGCTGGTAATTAGCATCAATTCCAGGTGGCCCAAGCATTGCTGCAGTCAGAGTCATGGGATATGAATGTTGGGCTTTTAATGGCATTTTAGCTCAGATCCATTTCACGGTGGACCAAGTGGATTCCTGGACTCATCTTCTGGTGATTTCCCCAGTTTCATAATGGAATGTGTCCTTGGACAGGATGTTTCCAGCAAATAGCAGAGCTTGGTAGTAGTTCTGTCACCAAATGATAGTTGTTTCCTGATATGCAGAGTAAAGGCTGGTAGGAAAAAGGCAACTGAAGTCATTAAATCTGCCTTTGTCTAGGAAACTAATAAACTGGCAGATACTAGTGACATCATCAAGGATTTGAAAGATGCAGCAGTGGTCATTCTCACCACATGCTCATTGAACTCATCCATTTGTTCTGTGAAAAAAAAATTGTATGTATTGTGGAGAATGATAGCTGATTATCATAAAGTCAACTAAATAGTGACTCCATTTGGAGCTTCTGTGTCAGATGTGGTTTCACTGCTTACACAAATTAAGACATCTCCTGGTGGTACCTAGTAAGTCACTGTTGATCTGGTCAATGCCTTTTTCTCCATTCCAGTTCCAAAGGCCCACCAGAAGCACTTTGCTTTTAGGTTGGCAAGGCTAGCAACCTGCACTATAATCCCAAATAAATGCACGTGGTTTGAATCCACCAGCTGCTCTCTGAGAGATGGGCAATCTCCTCCTGTGCAATTTACTGAATCTGAAAACCCACCAGAAGGTCAGCTATGGATTGGTTCTGACTCGATGGTACTCAACAACAACCCTCAAAATGTCTATCTTTTATTGACTATGCAAAGACAACATTGAGAAGAACAGGAATCCCAGAACACTTAATAGTGCTCATATGAAATCTGTATCTAGACCAAGAAACTGTTGTCTGAATGGAATAAGAGAATACTGTATAGTTTAAATTCAGGAAGAGTGTGCATCACTATTCTAGTCAATCTATATGCTGAGCAAATAATTCATGAAGCTGAACTCTACGCAGGATCACAGGAAGCCGCATCAATAAACTGCACTATTCAGATACACAACCTTGCTTGCTGAAAGCAAGGAGGACCTGAAGTGCTTTATGCAGGAGGTCAAAGACTATAGCCTTCAATATGAATTGCATTTTAACACCAAGAATTGAGAAAAGATTAAAACTGTTAATGATTTTGTTCTGCTTGGATATATAGTCAACAACCCTTGGTACCAGTGGTCAGGAGATAAGACATACTGCTTTGAGCAAATTCCCTGTCAGGGACCTCTCCAATATATTGAAGAGCAATGATGTCAGTTTGAAAACTAAGGTGTGCCTGATTTGGGCCATGGTCTTTTAAATTCTTTTCTATGCATTTGAGAGCTGGGCAATGAATAAGGATGACAGAAGAAGAATTTCTGTGATTTGTGGTATTGGAGAAGAGTAGTCCGATGGAACTAAAAGGTATGTCTTAGAAAAGGTGCAACCAGAGTGCTCCTTGGAGGTAAGGATGACAAACTTCATCTCTCATACTTTGGACATGGTGATAGGAGAGGCTATTTCTTGGAAAGAGATATCATGCTTGGAAGGATGCTGTCAACTCTTAGTCATAGAGATCCTATCAACAATGGCTCCAAACCTTGCCCTATTCTGAGCCAACCTCACTGTCTCTAA